AAATCGTCTGCATACATAATACTAGATATTCTCTTGTAGTTTAAAAGTAAATTATTGATTTCGTCAAAGGCCACAGTGAAGAGTACCACTGACAAGGGAGAGCCTTGCGGAATGCCATTAAATAGTCTGTAAGTTTTTGAAAATTTATTGTTTATTTTTACGCAAAAAGGCCGGTTGTTTAAAAAAGCCTTGACGAAATCATANCTTGCGGAATGCCATTAAATAGTCTGTAAGTTTTTGAAAATTTATTGTTTATTTTTACGCAAAAAGGCCGGTTGTGTAAAAAAGCCTTGACGAAATCATAGATTTTTTTCCAATCTTCCACTTGGCAAGTTGTCGAAGGACAATGTGCGCACCGATTCTATCGTAGGCCTTTTCAAAGTCAAGACTTAGGATAGAAGCATGGTTTTTTGTTGCAAAGGCTGTCGTTACAAAATGTTCAAATATTAAAAGTGCGCCAATCGTACCGTGTCCTTCCTTAAAAGCGACTTGGTGTGGGTCCATATAGCCGTTTGTCAACGTAAACCACATGATACGTTTTGCAATCATTTTCTCAAGAACTTTACTCAGGCACGGAAGAAGGGATATAGCTCGGTAACAGGAACTGTTAGAGGTAGATTGATTCGGCTTAGGAATCGGAAGTACCACTGCACTTTTCCATGTGTGTGGTATGAACCCTGGTCTAAAATGTTGTTGTACAAATCTAGCAGTCTGGTTTTAACTTTCTGTGGTAAATTTTTAAGCATTGGGTACGAAATACGATCTCTGCCTGGTGTTTTTCCTGACATGGCCTTTTGTTTTTTTTTTGATTGTTGAGAGTATTAAATGGCCGGACACTCCCACAGGCCAGGGTGATCGATGAACTTAAAGCGTTTCTCCACACTCTTGTTGTCAACTTTCAGGGCTTCGGCTTAGATACACGCCAATTATCAAATATCTCCAAACAAACCAAAAAGGCAGAAAAATGCCTACTTCCAAATGTGCAATCACGAGCTTGGCCTTCCCTGTTAAGCGATTTGACTAAAAATATAAAAAGTTTATTACATAACTACAGTATTCAAAGTAGTTTATATAGTCAAGATATTTAATAAGACGTATAAAGTTAATTTGTACTATCTATTTTGTTCTTCATATTACAACTAGATATCAATTTGTGCCTCTTTCACAAAATTGCACAATTCCTTGAGCATTGCTTCATCTTTCTTAACAAAAATTTCCTCAAAATCCTTACATTTCCTAACTGCATCAAACTTTGATCTTGTGCTGGCATATTTCGTACAAGAAAAGATCGCGTGCGAATAATTATCTACCTTTTGACATTCCTCACATAAATTAGACCTTAAAATTTTGATTTTATGCAGATGCTCTTTATCATATGTATGTCCTGTAAGAAGACGATTAATTTATTTAACATCTTTCACATCAAGTGACACCTTGTAATACCAAGGTTTGTGTGGTATGTTCGGAAAAAATTTGAAAAATGTTCTACCTTTATATTCCGACATCATTTTGTACCTACTGTTCCATTCTTCTTTCAAAATTCCACTTATTTGTCTCAACGCCTCTTCCGGAGTGAGTAAAACATTCAAGGGTGCACCCACTGTCACCGCCCATTTGGCCAAGTCATCCGCCACCTCATTCATTTCAAACCCAACATGCCCTGGGGTCCATACTATTTCACACTTTAAGCCACTGTTATTAATAGTGGAATGTATTCTTGCAATAATGTAGTTGTCGGATTCACATTTTTCCAACAACCTACACGAAGTCAAACTATCAGTAAAAATTACAATTTTTTTAAGGTTGTCCTCAACCGCTATGTCAACTGCTTTGACAATGGCCCACAACTCACTAAAAACAGATGAGGTCTTAAAATTGATTCTGAAAAGAAATTTCTGCTTATGTGTCACATTATAAACTCCGCAACCCATGGAGTCTTCCCCACCCGACGCATCAGTGGCAAAAATTGTAAAATCTCTTCCCTTGTACCTATTTACAAGCCTTCTATACTCGACTTGATACTGCTCTATAGAGAAGTTCGCTTTATTACCCTCAAGCACCCGTCCCTTAACTCTCAGATGCTCACTTCTTTTTATTACCTTTAATACAATCAAAAACTTCCGGATCACCAAATTTAACTTGTATCAATTCACGACAAGTTAGAAATGTTTCCCTTTCTCTAGGTTCAAACTCATTCGCTAGTACATATATATTGTGAGTCGGGGTGGAGGGTGTTAAACCCAAACACCTTCTCAGGGTATTGTTCTGAAACGCTCTAATTTTTTGCTCCACAGATAGTTTTGATAGTTTTCAGAAAAACTATCAATATTCACGATAGTCTCGAAAAAAACAAAACTATCGATAGCACTATCGATAGCTCTAAATCAGGGAAAATTTTAGAATGGTAACCCCCGAGTACGGTATTAAGGAAAATAGGGGGGGGCGGGGGTAGAGGGGGTTCTAAAGGGGGTATATGTAAAGTTTTAATGCGCGGAACCTTATAGTTTTTAAGTAATTTGTTATTAAAGTTTGTAATTTTCACTAACTTGTATGGGACTATTTCACAATATATAATGCACTTTCCACTAAATTTACACGTTATTTACACTCAATATATGCACAGTAATAGCCCGAACACAATGAAAACGACGAGCTACAAACCACAGCTGTCAAATTATTTTAACACGTATTCTTATGTAGATAATTATTTTGGCGACGACCGGGCTACGCTACGGCTGTGGGAGTGGCCAGATTAGATCTATTTCTATTTTTCTGGCGACAGATAAGGTTCTTCCTCTTCTTTTATGTCAAACTCATACAAATTCATGATGTCGCTGCCGCGTTCAAAGAAATCATGTCGCCATCGACAAAGCGCTTAGATAATAAAGATGACAAATTGGAAGCTGTGGTCGGTAGCTCGTCGTTTTCAATGTGTTCAGAACTTAA